ACTTAAACGTTAATATGCACTTGTCAGTAGGTATAACAATATGATGATTGAAGGTGTTAGAAGAGGATGGGAAGTTGTTTCAAATAACCTATAATCCCTCAAAATCAAAGTTCAAAGCAAATTTAGCTAAGAACAGAACATCACGGAAGCAAATGATTTGCGATACCAACTAATTAGGATTATAGCGTAGTTGCTTACACATATTCTTGCGTGGAGTAATTTTACTCCGGTTAGAGATTTGTATGTCTGTGAAAAGATACTTGTAAGATTTGAAGAACATCTAGTTTTTAGAGGACCCCTATTTGTCTTTCCTGAATGGAGTAGAATGGTTACTTAGGACACAGATACAACAATTGCAAGTAGTTTGGGTTAGTTTTGAGGTATAATTGATTGACATTGATATTATTTGGGAGATGATATAAGTTTTCTTGTTATTCTTGGACTATAAGCTTAAAATGACGTTTACTTCTATTGCTGATAATGTTGGTATGTCAATGGACATCTCTTGTTCATTTGGAACCAAAGTAGAAAGATGTAGGATGTCCTGGTTTCAACATTATATACCTTTTTTTTATGAAGTAAGAGAATTTTATAGCTGGCATCAAGAAGATACAAGAAGTACAGAAGAGAGAGAGGTACATAATAGAGGGGTCAGCTTTGATACAAAACAGAGCTAAGCTAAAGCTAGGGAGCTGAAAAAACCCAAAAACTTAATAGGTCAATTTGCAGGGGCTAAATTATGCCAACTACACAACCATAAGAGACATCTAGCCTTAAGTGTGCGAGGGAGAGTTGATATCCCATCAAAGCATCTGCAATTCCTTTCTGTCCAAACACATCAACAAAAAAATGCAAGCAGGGATCATAAACTTTTTTGATAGACTTATCAACTTTTCTGGAGACCAACATCCATAGGCCTCTTTGATGCTCTGTGGTATAACCCAGCTGAGACCAAAAATAGCAAGGAACATGCACCAAATATCTGTGACAACGGGGCAATGTAGTTGGAGATGCCTATTAGTTTGTGATCGTTGTAGGCACATGAAGCATCTGTTGACAGTCTGTATGCTCTTCTGTTGAGACTCAACATTATACACTTTACCCTTCCAACCTGCAGGATATTTTCTTTACATACCCTTTCTTTGCGCGAGTCCTTTAACACACCTTAATTTGTCAATTTGGTAGCTAAGATTCCCACGTCTTCTGGGAAGTGCATGACACGCGCCAATGAGAGTGCAACTCGTGTCTTAACGTAAAATAAAAGGGAAAAACTGAAAAATACTCCCTCACTCCTTCTCTTGAGTTTCATTATTTATAGTTTTAACCCCACAATAGTTTTCATCTTGCTAATTTACCCTTTTCTTTCTCTGTTCAAGCCCACTTCTTTCTATGTGATTATTTGGAATACTACTGCACTATTGTTATTGTAATCCCCCTTATGAAATTCTGGAAAACAAACAACAAGAAATCAACGAAAGAAAAAAAGGATGCTTTTTAGCGCAATATGTTTACTCTTTTTGTAATAATGCTGACAAATGTTCCAAAAGCAAGTCTAATCCTTTTTTGCTGCCTAATGGTGGTCTAAAAATGTACTTAAATATGGCTCGATCAAGACTTAGTTGGATATAGTCAATAGGTCAGACTACTTAGACCGCATAGAGCTTTTCTACTTGGTCGGAAAGCCATTTCTGACAAACGCTCCTCACTATTTCACTACACAGAACTCACCAGCACTACCAGTCACGTTGCATCTCGTTGATTGATGTACTTTCATCTATTTGCTTTGGAAAAAGTATTATTTCCTTGATTGCTAGAGTTTGGTGAAATCGTAAGCTGCCCTTCTATATGCAAAAATGGGGAGAATTGCCGGTCCTTTCAAGACATTCTCTGCGCGCTTCCCCTCATCTATGTCTGCGCTTTCCCTTTAAGTCTTCCATGAACTTTACCAATAAAAACCTTTCAATGTTCAATCATCAATTAGTTGGTCCAACTTGTGGTAATTTAAGGTTTGTTTATGCTGAGGGAAGGCACTCATGGTATTGTCAATGGATCCCATTTGCTGATTTCCTTTTGTGTTCCCTCTGTTAACCAAATAGTGAAGATGAATATGCAATGTGTTAGAGCATACACTAGTCTTTCATTGATTGTATAAGGGTTGCCAAAGGGGTTTATAATGTATTGGGCCACTCCACCCATTGCCTAAAGGTTTTGGGTTGGATGGTTAGTTTCTTTCTTATGGTATCAGAGCCAAACTTTAGTGAGCCTGTTTGTACAACCACATTCTTTCTTCATGTTCTTACTCTAGGATTTGCTCCCTCAACTTAGCCTATGGAGCTGCTCAAAGATTCTCTCTCTTAATTCAATCGAGTCACAAACTTTCCCTAGTACTCCCCTCTCAGCTCTAGGCTCACTGTTCGGTCTGTTGAGCCTGATCTCTCTACATCAGATAAACTCCTCAATCTTCTGGAAAAGGATAATATTCAGTTTACATGTAAACCCAAGAATCTGGAGGCTATTAGAGAATACACTTATCTCTCATTGATTATGCACAGGTTACCAAAAGGATTTATAATGTCCTAGGCTACTCTATGCATTGCTTAGTATGTTGGGTTGAATGCCTAGATTCATTCATATAAGGATTAAAGCTGCCGAAAAAAAGGGAAGAAATCTATATATATGTTGGACACGTGGCATTCAAATAATGTCTCAAACACAATTTTACTAATCACACGCTTGGCTTTTTTGTTTGTGGTGCGCATGCCACATGTCATTTTAGCGGGGGTAATAGTTTCCCTTTTTACAAATTGAGGTATGTAAAAGGATGTCGATAAAGAAAAAGTGTGTTAAGGGAATTTCTTTGCAAGTCCGAGGGGTAAAGTATGTATTAAGCCTTTTATTATGTTAAATTCTATAACTATTTTGTGAAAATTGGAATGTCTTTTCGATTGAAAGCAAAACCTTCAGATGAACGCAACGGTACTGCTTTTAACAGCAAGATTGTTACTGCTCGAAGTAAAAATCTCAGAACTGTTAATACCTATTTTTGTGATGAAAAGAACCATAATTAGCATTCTTCTATCTGCTCTGCATCCAATAGTTACCAGAAAGGACGAGGTTGAGGTTTGTTAAAGATGGACTAAATTGCATTGCTACGATTTATATATCTTTGCAAGCCAAGACCCATACTTTTTTTTTATTTTTTTATTTTGTATATCATGGTGTTTGGCCCAACTTGCGCGCACTTCAACTAATCCACTAGGTATCCTGGTGTCACACCAAGTGTTGTAGTTGGAACTACAAATATGAGATCTCCAGGTTGTACTAGCATGCGTCAAGCACTAGGCCATCCCCTGGAACAGTTGTGTACCTTTCTTAATGATCTTATAGACAATATTCTTTTTATAGAGTTCAACTCAATCATTTCAAACAGTGAAAATGATGGGTTTATGTAGTATTTTCCTTGGGAAACTACTGGGTTTGTTGTTGTATGTAGTATTTTCCTGGGAAAGTTGCTCGTCATGTAGGAAATCCGCTATTTCATGGTAAAGATTCCTCAAAGTGTAAGTGGTATTATCTAAAGAAACTTTACCTAGTGAATGCATTTTGATCCATTCCATTAATTTTTTGAAAAAGAAAATGACATTGATCCATTCCATAAATCAAAATGACTAAATATTAGGTAAGAGTTGAGAATTAGAAAGAAAGATGAAAGTATATTTTCAGAGTGATGAAAATGTCAGTAACAATTAAAGTTTAAGAACTCGAGTATTCAACTAGTTATCCCTAGTCTTAAACACAATGAGAGCGTAACTAATATTGGAATGAAATAAATTATTTTTGACAAAAGTATTGGAATGAAATCCGAATAAAACAGAAAAGATATTGAAAACTCATATAGTTGGCTACAACTAGTTTGGGTTTGAGCCTTATTGGTGTTATCGTTGTATTTTATTCCAATTTTGGAGCAGACGTGATATTTCAACGTATAAGTTTTACATAGGAACTCGTCATAAATAGACTTTGCTTTGCTTTATCTCCTTGCGTTACGGGCCTTACTTTCTGTCACTCAAATCCCTATGACTTTTTTGGAAAAAAAAGAAGGGAAGAGGTTCAAAAGGTTCTTGAAAATCTTGTACTTTTAAGTTGAGGTATGCCAGAGACAATATTTAGAATAATGCTACAAAGAGATTCAATTCATTGCCTAGAAGTTGGCTCTGATTTTGCAGCCAAGGATGTGGCCTAGGGGTCAATGAAGTGGGTTGAGAACCATGAGATCTCAGGTTTAAATCCCAGCTGAGACAAAAACACGAGGTGTTCCTTCCCATCTGTCCAAGCCTTGTTGGATAAAGTTACCTGGTACCTGTTGCTGGTGGGAGGCAGCAAGTATCTGGTCGAGGTGCGCACAAGCTAGCCTAAACACCCCAGTTATAAAAAAAGAAGAAATTGACTTTGACTTCTTCTTTTTTCCGCTCAAAGTGTCTAACTTTTATTTGGTTTTCCTCATTTTTCTTGTCAATGAAGTTATTCTAAATGAGGAAATATCACCATTATCCGGCAAGTTATTTCAGAAGGCTATTTTGTCAGATTAGAGATAAATGGTCTAGAAAGAATTATTGAGTGTCATGATGTTAGGATTAGGCACACGTCACGAGTTCAAACACTATCACAAACAAATTCCTGGTATTTAAGTGGGAAAGGGTATAGGGGCAGATCAGTTATCCAGAGTTTAGAGCTGTGTGCCACTGGCCCTCGGGGATTTCTTGGTTATTAGAAAGAAAAAAAAGAATTACTGATCGTGAGGAACAAAGGGGAATTTTGTGAATAATCATCAGATAAAGCTTCTAACAGTACCATTAATTTCTGTTATCACTCGTAGTTTAAGTTTTTCCAGTTATTCCTCTATGCTATTTCTAGCTTTTTGAAGCGCTCGGTAGATGACTTTTGTTTGTTTTCTTCTGATCACTTCCTCATGTCAATTATCTTATTTTGCCGGTGATCAGGATTGAGTTGCTACATTTCGCCATCGGATATTGTTGGGACTCGGGAGGGCGCTGATGTGCAAGGCATGACCATAAGAAATATTAAGTTCATCAAGTCTGAAAACTTCTGCTTTATTACTACGTAAGGACGCTTGGATGGAAAACAAAATACTTCCATCTTCTTCTGGAGGGTACGACATTGATTCCTGTGGACCGCGTTTAGGCAAAAGGATATCAAGGCCAGTTGATTTGCCTGAATTTTCCTGGCCTCCAGAATCAAGATTAACAGAAGGTGGTCTACTCTTAGGAACCGCCACAGAAGAAAACATTTGTGAATCAACTGTAAACCAATTGAAGTGTGCCAAAATGGTTGCTCTTCAGGGTGATCAATTTAATTATCAGAACTGTGTCGAAGGTTCTAAATTAACATGTAATAGGAAGTCCCAAGAAAATGAAGCTGAAAAAATACACCAGTACCCTTTATGCATGCAGTTGCAATCTACACAGCACCAGCATCCACATTGGAAATCTGATGTCCCAACTGGGGAGATGCCTGAATCGCTAAAGAAAAGTAACATGCTTGCACGAGCTGACACTGGGAACCCTGTTGTCACCTCTAGGATGCCATTGGAAATGCATAATGTTTCCTCTGGATTTGTGAGAGAGGTTGGAGCAGTTGAGCAGAATTTTTCTCAGCACCATACCTCATATGCTTTTCATGGAAGAGGTCCTGAGGAAGCTAATAGATTTGGGAATTCTTGTGTTTTGGAACAAAGTCGTCAGTGTTCAAACAGCACTGGATGTAATAATCCCTCATCTAGAGATATTCTCTCCTCAGGAGTCTCAGCTTCTACTGAACAAAATATTGGTGGAAGGTCATTGCATAATGAGGTTCAGAGTTTCATTGGTTCTTTCGATAATCGTGTAGACAACTTACTTGAAAGTAGAGGAAGAAGTCATATGGAAGGTGATATGAAAATGAAGGACCTGGAAGTAATAGATAAGGAGGACATCAAGGGTTCTTTGACAGATGACCTTTCCTCTAAAGATGGCCATCGTCCATCAAATGGTGTTCAACATGTTGAATCAAAGAAGTCAAATCATAGCTCTCAAAGATTAGATGAGAAGAGTAGGTTATCGTCTAATAAAGTGCCTCTTGCGGCTGAAAAGCTATGGGATGGATCTCTTCAGCTAAACGCATCTGTTACTGTGTCTGTGGTGGCTTTCTTCAAAAGGTCTTTCCATTTACTTTTTGGTTATTGGCATTTGCTTACAACTTGTAAATAACTGCAAGCTACCTTAGAAGTAATACAAAATTTTTTTTAAAAATATATTATTGAGTTGTTGTCTGTTGTAGATTTATATCGGCACTAATGTTGCCTAATTAAATATTAAAGAGTCAACCTCCCTAGATTATCTGGTCTCCCCTGTCTCAGTTAAAATAATGTTTGAAATGCTGCTCCTATGCATGTTCATCTTGTCTAAAATGCTAGATGGAACTTATTGCTTTCAATTTTCTGCAGTTGCATTACTACATTCTTTTTTTGATCAAGTATAAGAAGAAAATACTTGCATTACTACATTATTTCCTGACTGCATTGTCTTGTTTTGATGAACTTCCAACCCAGCAGCCAGATACTTAACTACTTTAATGTAACATGACTTTCATTAGGTGTACCCCTCTTAGAATTTGATTTAATTAAAAATGATGGCACAGTTGATGCATGTTACATATATTTATAATAATTTTCTAATGTTATTCGCTTCAGCATAGATAGCTAAAAACTCAAAGTTGAATGATATTTTAGAGAAAAATTTTCAAGAAAAATAAGCCAAAAAAAAGAAGGAATAATTGGTTAAGAAGTGGATTGGAGATAGGACAGTCCAAAAATTTTAGTCTCAGTCCAAAAATTTTAGTCTTAAGATTTTTCAAGTTGATGATGGAGATTGGGATTTTTGTGAAGTATAGAGTTTTAGGAGAGACCTGAGAAGTTATGATAGGGTATTGGGGTTTAACCTTGCTCTTCCTATGCCCAAGTGGATCCTAATCAACTACTTAACTTTTGCTGCTTTATGCTGGACCTACCCAAGCATAATTTAGCCAGCTGATCCCAAAATGACTTAACATGGAGTGGCAGCTGCTGGAGTGTTGAGATAGAAGCTAGAGCTGTGAACTTGCTGCAATTAATTATTGGTGTATAAGCAAAAAAGCTATGTTGTGCCGACTCTCCAAAACTGTTGCGGCACCCGTGTCGGATCCTCCAAAAATACACTACTTTTGGAGGATCCAACACGTTCCCGGCGACATTTTTGCAGAGTCTGAGCAACATAGCAAAAAAGAAGCTGGAAATTTGGACAGATTTTGGAAGGTAACGATAAATATGAGAACTGAGGGAAGAAATGGATTTTCGAGGAGGTTGAATATGTGCTGAGATGAGGAAGGAAGCTGTAATTACAGGGGGAGATTGAAGAGAACGATATAGAATGGGGGAAACAGATAAAGAAAGACAGCAATTGGAATAGGTAAAGAGAACGAGAAAGTTGAAGAAAATCCAATTATTCAAATAGCAGCAGAAGAATTTCTGGAGTTGAAGAAGAATCAGATTTGAGAAAAGAATTAACAAGGAGTGTAAGAAGAGAAGAATAAGTGGGTATAGAAGGGGGGGGGGGGGAGAACAACCTTTCATTTTGATTGTGACAAAAAAAAGAAAGAAGAGAGGGAACTTGGAGTGGAGATAGATAGATAGAGAGAGAGAAAGAGAGAGATTAGAATAAAGCTCTGCAATTCTCCATGCAGTGAATGATCTATACCATCCCCTGTTCCACAGTAGTTAATCTCTAGGTTGTAAATACTAAAATTTGAGGTTCATGCTTCAACACCTTCTGCCACTTCCTCAGACTTGGTGTTATCTAGTTTGGCAATTAAGTTGGGTACAGTGAACGCCACTAAAGGTTTATGTACATGATAAGACTACTTAATAATAAAAAAAGGATTTACACCACAAAATAGAAAAAAATGAAAAAAGAACCAAGTCAATTGCATGTGAAAATTAAGCTAATTGTGTGCAATTTTTCAAAACACGGAGACTGCTTTGGTCTTGATTTTATTTAAAAAAAAAAGAAATGACTACTTTGGTCTTGATAATTGAAAAGCTTAAAAAATATTGTAATTAGTTATTCCAGGCCTCCTTACAGCACCATTTTAAATTTTAGCTGATTTGCTTGAGATCAGTCCTCAAAAACACCAAGTGTAAAAGTCGATCGAACCAAATAAAATCAGCCACTTCATTTCCCATGTTCTTTAAACCGTCCCTTCATGATCCAGATTGTTGTCAACAAAGAGTATTGGCCAATGCTAATCTTACTCCACTCAGCTCATTCAGAATGAGCAGCTTTGGTTGGGGCCTAAGCTCACGAAGTTTTTATCTTTAATAATCTTGCCTTGTTATATGTACAAATGAAGTGGTATATTCAGTGGTTGATTCAGTACAGTACTTGTGACGAGACACTAGTAAATAGAAGGATTAAAAGAAAGGAGCAATAGCGCCCGCTTGATAGAACAGTAAAGTGATTATTGTCCATGAGCAGTCGAAATGTTCCTTCAATCAATTTATAAGTTATAACCACACAGTATCCATCTAGTGTCAATTTTCCGAGAATAGCTTCATTATATCCCTATTTGCAACTTATTTTGATATTAAGTGTACGAATTAAAAGAATCCATATTTCATTATTATACATTCAAAACACTGCTGCTGTAATTTTTTTGTTAGTTTTCATGGGAATTTTTTTTTCTTGTGCCCCTTACAATTGAAAGTTATCTGGCCATTTTGGTGTTTTAGAGTTTGCCAGTCGGTCATATTTATCTCAGTGCTTAAAGGTGGAACTATTTTAAGTTACATCACAGATTCCAGTTCATCTCGAGTGCAGTTTAGAGAAAAGGTGAAAAAAGAAATCGTGTCAGTGGGATGTGTAGTATAAGATCTTAGGATATCATGTCTTTACATTGGAGAGACGCACAGAATCTGCATGATGGCTTTCATTCACACAGTGTTGATATGACAAACATACTGTGCACACTTCTAAAATTGTCCACCACAAAAGAGTTGGAAATTTTCACTTCTCTTCCGCTGTAGGTAGTTGATCACTAAGTTGCTCGGACACGGGTGCGGATCTAGAGGTCGGATCCTTCGAGATGTAAATTCTAAGATTCGGGGATATGGATCCTAGTACGGATACGGATGGGGGATCCGGCTAAAAATAATTCAAAAAAATAAAAATATAAAAATATCTCTAAATTATGAGAAAATTTGTAGAATACTTAGCTTGTAAAGTGTGAATTTCTTTATTCTCAAGTTGTAGATAAGTAAAGTATTGATTTCCTAGATAATGTATGCTATTTTCTTTAGATTTACCCTAGTTTTAGTTCTGATTTCGGGAATCAAATTGTATCTCGCCTCAAATTTTTTTGTCTGATGTGGTCAAAGTATCCAAAATTTTTTGACCAGATACGGTACGGATCCCATACCCACACCCATACTAGTGTCGTGTCGACACGGGTACGGCACCTAAACTGCCATGTCGGAGCAACTTAGGTTGATCATGGCTTCTTAATTCATATGTGTTCGATTTAATTAGCTATATTCTTGAATTGTGCCTATTGCACTCAATGTAGTTAACTTAGTTCTAACATATTTCCTTAGGTATATTTAGTCTTTACTGACTGTTTAATATGATAGGCTCTTTTGATATAAAATTGGGTAGGCATCTCGCTTTATTGAGGCAAGATTCCCATCTTTCATGGTTACCTATTGAATAACCTTGTTTTTGCTGCCTCTACTATTATGCATCATCTATCTGGCTTTCCATTTTCCATGCTGCTGTTCATATGCAGCTGTTCTTGCACTGATACTCCTCACACGTGAGGAGAACCATCTTTCATGGTTACCTATTGAATAACCTTGTTTTTGCTGCCTCTACTATTATGCATCATCTATCTGGCTTTCCATTTTCCATGCTGCTGTTCATATGCTGCTGTTCTTGCACTGATTCTCCTCACACGTGATGGTGGTGGATCCTATTGCTGTTCACTTGATTTAATGCATTATAGACCTGTGTGTATGGCAAGCTGCTTTCTGTCTATTCTTAGATAATTTTCTTGGTGGCCCCTGCAGTCATATTTTGTTGACCTTATGAATGATGAATTTTATGTAGCGGTGAGAAGTTGCTTGATCTCAGCTGGTCTGAATTTGTAGAAGTTAAAGGGAAAGTAAGGTTAGAAGCTTTCGAAAAGTACATCCAAGATCTTCCTCGTTCACGCAATCGGGGACTGATGGTAAGACTTGTCTTTGTTCTGTTACCTAAATTTGGGCACTATAATATGGACAGTTAACATGATTCATTCATGATAGATGGGTGTAAATTTTTCAAAAAAGAAAAAAGAAAAAAAATGCATATAGCTTTCCTTAAAAATTTCAGCTGAAAAGGAGAAACATGAAATGGTGAACAAAAAATTAGATAAAGACGTGAAACATTACTTTTTACGTGGGATGCATTTAACTAGTGTCTGATACTTACTTCCTCCTCGCTCCTTAAAAAGAATAAGTCACCTGTTATTGGGATGCCTAAATTTGGTATCAAAAAATATATTGTAGCTTGTTGCTTACACATTTCTCTGCAAATACTTTAAGTTTTTGAGACTGATGAAAGACTCCCTCCATTCAATCTAACAGTCCTCGTTGACCTGGCATTCTTAGATATTCCTGAAGTTGTTTGTTCTTGGCAAAGATGGTAGCTACTCTTTGTAAGTTGTTTAACATGGTAGCCGATAAGAATTTTGGGTAGAAATTTCGGGTTTAGGAATGATACAACAGAATTATCATCTAAGAACTCCTGGAAAACAATAGAACTGAACAGAGAGATAAAATCTCAGGCTTACAAAAAGATCAGGTAACTTTCCACTCGAGACAAAAGACACCTCCACTGTGGAAGGTTTATCTTGTTTCCTGTATGAAAACTTCAAATGAGGTGCTGAACTATCTCATACATCCACCTTTGGAACATTAAATTCATGCGTGAGGCCTTTGGAAGAGCAACCGCCATTACATAGCCATTAGAAAGATGACAGTTCTTTTCGGTGTTATTTATCGTTTGGTCACAAGAAGGGTACATACATGAGTAACCTTGATATTTGGGCCTTTTTTGGTATGACAAAATATTACTTATGGAAAATGTTTTTAAAACATTTTCTTTATCTCTCCTTAAATCTTGTACAAGCAACTGGTAAGAGTACTATTACAGAGAATCATGGTGTGAATAATTTAACTGTCTTTTAGAATCCTCGGTGTTTTGCGAAGAACAAAAGACAAAAGAATCATAAGATCCATATAGGCGAAACCAACTAGTTAGTCTGAGCTCTTAAGGTTGGGCCACACTCACATTAGGTTCATCTTTGCTAGAAGTCCTTTTAGTTTGTTTTGAGATCTATATGTCAGTGTAGGGATAAATGTGAGTGTTTGAGAAGCTATAGCCTTAGAGAACTCCTAATCTGTTTTGAAAGATAAATTCTTGAGTATTGTAATGAAACGTGCCCAAATTGAGCACAATGGATATAGTCATATATATAGATGATTCATATATCGACCCCACTTGGGATTGAGAAATAGTTATTGTTGTAAAAGAGGTAAATGATTTTCTTCAATTTTATGTAAATATTTTTTGAAGAACCTTTTCAATTGCTTTACACTAACCAACATTAAAAATGACTTTTATAGAGGAATATTTCCCAAAGAAACCTTTTATGGCATACCTAATAGGACCTTGATCCATTTATCCATGTGGATTTCCTTGCCAAATCTTAGAGTATCTGCTAGAATTAGGTGCATATTCTTGAATTAGAATTGAGTGGATGAAAATGTTAATTGTTGGGAGTTATTTGACTTGATTAACAAACCATACCTTAGCTTTTACTCTTTGTTTGTTAATGTTGGAAATCGTGCTTATTGATTTACTGGTCATTCTGCTGATTTTAGAAATCCTTTGAAGTCTGTCATAATCAGTGAGCAACAGAGCACAAAGCTGGTTTTATCCACACGTAGATTAAGTGGAGAAAGCTCATTGCTTCACAATTACTAGAAACATGCATTACTAATTTGCTTGCATTAATAAGTAAACCAAATATCCAATTCAACTACGGGACATTTGCAATTTTTCCTGTGTTGGGATTTTGTTCAGGCTGAGTTTTACAAAAAAGTCATTATGAAATATTAAACACAGATAATTTGAGAAAGAAAGCATTGATAAATCTAGAGATCCCCGGTCTTAAATATTATGAACTATCAAAACAATGTTAAAGTAAGTGGAAATAGAAGATAAGTTGACTTCTCAGAGACCTCTTATGTAAAGCTTGATAAGTGACAAATAAATAAACTTGTGTTTTGAACTTGTCAAGTTTCTTTTCGGCCGTTAACGGTTAACCATTCAAAAGCAGAAGACTTTGAATTTCAAAGATTGTTCAACTGACAGTCTGACACTAATAAGTAACTTAATCTGACTTTGTACTCCAGAGAACCTGTTCTGTTACAAGCTGTCTTTGATAGGCTTCTTGAATTTGTTTGGATCATTTACTCCTCCAAACAAGGCCGAACAATGGCAAGACAAAAAATTATCTGAAGTTCCACAGGAAATAAAGCGTTCCTCTTGTACAATTTTTTATCAATACAAATACAGCAGTACTTGCACTACCACGGTATCAACAACAGTATAAACAGCAGTGGCCAGTCATTACTTCCAAAGTTTAGACGCAACCAACGTTCCTTCAGTGATGTGCAATTGTATCTCAGACTTCTCCTTCTCTTGCACACTATCAAACTAAAACCTGTCCTACTTGAAGTAATCTTTCATATGCTCTCAGTTAAAGAAAAGAGTTCCAGTAATTAATATGAAGTTTGAGACACAGGGAGTCATGAACTTTAGTTGAGGAAAGAAAAACCAAAGAGAGTAATAAATTGTTCGATTGTAATAGAGCCTAATGTTGACCATGAAAGTCAACTAGGATTATGACTTTGAGATAGAGGGAGTAGCATCTTTCCCTACATGTATCGCTGTATATTATTTAACTACATTACGCTATTAATCGCTGGATGATCACATGATCATCTTTTTATCTCAAGGAATAATTATGAAGCATTATTTAAATACCATCTAATTACTTGCATCTCAAGCACGAGAAAGAGTATGTTCATAGAAACTAGACAGAATACCTAATTACATCCCCCCCCCCCCC